AGCAACGAGGGAGGAAGCTTTAAGCTTAGAGTAACCATTAGCTCCAACAACAGAGAAGTGGTCTTTGACTGGGTACTTGATCAATGCTGTGTCTCTTTGTATTTTGGATGTTCATTTTCATACCCAGGCTGGAAAGTTTTGGTGTTCTAGCGGTGAGTGAAGGGATTTTTGTTCTTGCTATAAAGTGTAATGTTCAAACCTGGGTTTCCAGCTGTTTGACATCAACAATCTGTTAACAGAAACCTTTCTTTATACTACTTGAACTCCATTATATTGTACTTCCTACTGGATTCATTTCAAAAAATAATTGTGAAACAGTGGATTTCTTACTCTGGAAAAAGAAGCAGGTGTTTGTGTAGGCAAATTAATTTAAGTGGTCCATAAGACCTTTCCCTTTTTTGCCTGCAGACTTGATTTTTGTCAGTATTTCATTGTACTCTAGCCTTAGGGTACACGTGTTGTGTGGGATTAACTTTGCTTAATGCTGCTGTTCTGTGAAATAAGCCTGTAAATGTTTAGGGAGGTGGAGGGGTGGTAATGGACCAAAGTTTTATTTATACCACTTGGAAAAGGGCAGAGTATTTAGAGCAGTGATGTCCTGCTATGCTTCCTTGTACACAATGCTGCCTTGAGAGTGTGAATGGACAGTGGGTTCTGCGTGCAACAGCCATTTCTTCCGTGCACGGTACTGCTCGTTCCTCCAGAGCAAGGATGTCTGAGCCATAATGTCTGTTAAATGTCTTTCTTATATAAGTGCCTTATTTCCAGATATTTCTTAAACTGTTTTCTGTGTTGTCACTCTGAATATATATATTTTTTTTTAGAGTAGTTGCACAGCAATGCTTACATCAACTTAATGTGGATGCTTGACTCAAACTAGACCCATACCTAGAGCAGGATGGTAATCCTTATCTGCTCTGAACGTCTGCCCTGGTTAGATTTTACTATAATTATAGTAAAGAGCAAGAGCAAGCTTTGGCAATTTAGTACTTGGGCTTGACGTGCAGATGGCAGCCACAGTTCCTCACAGAGCCCTTCTAAGACCTAGAGACAACCTTCTTTCTGTTGGCCAACAGAGATAAGTGCTGTTCTGATGTGCAGGATTCCTGGAAACCCCAGGTACTCCCTGGGACCACTCTGCATTCAGTGCAATAGTGCAGGATGATGGTTCAAGCACAGGGATGGACTGGGCCACCCAAGCAGGCTGGGACTGCAGCTGGAGATCCACCTTGGGAGATAATGGAGATGGGCTTTGGGTATGGGCTTAAGGCAGAGCCTGTTGGCACAAGTTTAACCTCGGGCAGTCAAAATGGAGCAGATGGTGGTAATTTAGCTCTCGTCCAGGTAGTAGGATGGGATAAGAAATTATTAGGAATTAATTGACTTTGAATTCAGAAGTTACATAAAGTTACTTACCACTATTTCCCCTAAGAAGCATCTAAGATTTAGAGTGATCTTATCAAAGAGAGCCTATTCCTAGTCAAAAGATTGCAATAGTAGATTTAAAGAATATTTTAAAGTAATGTTCACTGAGGGCCTTAAAAGGGACCTTCTTACCTCAAGTTCAATTAAAATTAAATATATTTTAGCATGTTAGAAGAGCAATATTTTTATAAAACTTAAAGACAATCATTCTGCCTTTTTTCCTTCAGTGTCAACATGCTACATTAGCCCTCTATGCTGGCATAAAAGCTTAATTTACATTGGATTAATATTCCCCATCCTCACATTGTCAGGACAAAAAGATTTGTCACCTGCCTGCATGTTTGTCCCCCAATCATTTGTAGTTGGGATACATACATTTCGGGAGATAATGGCAGCTGATATCTATACCATTTACAAGAAACAACACATTCAGATGGATGCAAAGAACTTACATATGACAGAGTTAAATTGGAATTTACTGTAAGACATGAAGTGAGGAAGACTGGACAGCTGCAGGCAAGATAATCCAGTGTTAGCAACAAAAAACCTGCAGGATTCTGGTTTTTTCAAGCTTAACTTTCACTGTTAGGGAGCAAGAGATGCTTATCCTGCACTTTGTGTTCCTCTGAATGAGCCTGTGAAGAGTATTTTCAGTACTTTTAACAATGGTTCTTTTCCTGTAGCTGAGAAGGTTCAGTAGATGATCAAACAGTGTCAGTCCTGCTCAGAGAGGCTCAGGTTGGCACTCCAGCTAGCAGCCAACTTAAATCTTGCTCCACTTAGTAGTGCTGGTAATTTTACTTACACACTTCAGGTGTCAGGTACTAGTTGTAACTTAGTACTTTTACCATATGGGAACTAAAATTGTGAATATCTACACTTGAGGTACCGATGGGTCAGGTACCTTTTAATCCGCTTTTGGAGGGGCTGGTCAGGCTGTTGATTCTGCAGGAGACTTACTTGCATATTAGAAAATAAAGCTTAAGCCTTGAATTCAGGTACTTCCAGAGGTGGTAATGCCTTGTCAGTTTGTTCAGAATATACATATGAAGCAGCTTAAGGTGACTGTGAAGGGCCACAGGAGGCCCCTACTCCTCCCCTCGAGAGCTGAGGATGGCAAGAGAAGAAATAGTTTTTCTGATTTCAGTCTTTTGCTGTATGAACAAGAGCAACTTGCCAATGTTGGGTTATTTTTTTGTTTTGTTTTTAGTTTAGCCTAAGCCTAGCTGTCCAAATTGCAGATTAGGTACTGTTCAGCCACCTCTTAGAGCTGCACCTTATAAACCTGGGAGAGGTGAAGAGTCTCAGGGCAAGAGACCTGAGCAGTAAAGTAACAAAGTATGCAAAGAATCAGGGAAGGCTTGAGTTAAAAAGATTGAAATTCTGTTTTTCCACAGCAGAGTTCAGCTAGATAGAAAACTTGACACGTCCTTTACAATTTTTCACCTCTAGATATTGGAGCCTTGCAAGCAACAGTGTTAAACTGCTTACAAAACCCAGTCCTGAAAGTTGGTTTCTTAAGCTCGTACATTCACTTACCTCAACTAAGACTTAGGTGTCAAGTGAAATTTGATTTTTTTAAGAAATAAAGTTTTATCCCTCAACTGTGTATTGTCTAGTAAATTATTTATTGGGGTATAAATCTGAGCATCACTGCATTCTTTTAACAAGAGCATAAAAATGTATTCTATAGCACTGCAGCCACCTTTAAGAGCTTCAGGGTTTTTTCCCAGGTTTCTCACTTGTACATTTTTATTTCCCACTGAAGATTCAGTGGGAATTCAGATTTTTAACTGGTATCTCTTGTAGAAATAGTAATTTTCATTCTTTTTTAAAAAATACAGCATCTGTAAACTACTTTCCTCAGTATTCTTCACACCTAGTTTGTCTCTTTTACTGTTCCCAGCTCCTTACAATTGCTTTAAATTGTGCAGAAATTTGGATAAGGCTACAGCAACCTGGTCTAGTGGAAGGTGTCCCTGCTGCTGGCAGGGGGGTTGGAACTGGATGAGCTTTAAGGTCCCTTCCAACCCAAACCAGTCTGTGATTCTATGAACTCTTATACGTAGTAGTTTTTGGCCATTACTGAGCAAGAAGCAGAGGTTATTTAATCCCCTTCAAATAAAGTCCATGTTGAATTAACACTCAGCTTTACTTTATTCCCTTAGTTCTGCTTTACTTGCAGCCTGTTCCCCATTTCTTTTGTCTCTTTAAAAGACTTGTGAAACTGCTGTCACAGTAACTTTCTCTCCTAAATACACCATTGCCATGAAGAACATTCATGAGAAGATGCTGAGCATACCCCCTAGAGTGCATCTTCAGTCTCAAATCAGGCAACTTAAGAACAGCAGATACCAGTCACAGAAGGCACTTACCTACTTAATTCAAAGCTCTTGGGTTTCTCAGCTGTGAAACCATGCAGCATCAGATGGATAACCAGGATCTGCTCCAAGAGGAACACCTTCAAGCACTGTTTGATGATGGCTCCAAACTGTTCTGTGACTTAAGAAATATTTCTTAACTTTGAACAATGTCACAATTGTCCTCACAGAATGACTCCTGCATTCTCAAAGGTAAAATCAAATAGCTGGTTTGGGGGTTTTCTTTTGGTGATTAGTGAAGTAATCAGAACAGTTCAAATTATTTGCAACTGCTTCATTCCAGGCAGTGAATCTTTACCTCACCCCCCAAAAATACAAGGACTACATTCAAGACACAGTCAAAGCAACATACGCTTAAGGTTAACAACTTAAATGCATCTAACAATTAAATACTAAAGATAATATTTAATTCAGTGCATCAAATACTCAAGTCCTGTGTTAGGTTCCAAATTGGAGTTCACCAAATACAAAACATATAAATCTGCCATGTACATGTTAAAGGCTAAATTAGAACCTTGCCAATTTTAAAGATGAAAGCATAGCAGACAACTCGGGTCTGAAGTCACATTTACAGAATCTACTTGTCAGATCCTGTATTTCAGTATCTGAATTATTTTTAACATGGAAAAAAGTTTTCAGTGTCTGCTACTGAACAGTCACTATTTGGCCACGCAGTGCCATTTCTTACTCATTTTGTTCTGTAGTACCTGCAGAATCCATCCTCTGCAGTCCCAGAGCAGCACTATTTTAAACTGATACAGATTCAAACTTTACTCCAAATAAACTAAGTATCTTGTAAAACCTGTTTGAAACATTAACCGCTTGCACATAAACAAATGCACAAGTTTTTTTGTAACTGACACACATCACAAGTGATACTTCTGACTTTCAGTTATATAAATTCCAGTTCTAAACAGTAATACACAACTTGCATCTCAGGTATTCAGTTCTACCCCTCAAGAAAGGAGAATGAAAGTTTTTATAATCTGGCTAAAAATCTGGTAATTTCTGGAGACACCTTAAACAGAAAGACTGGAGAGAAACTTATCTGCCTTTCTAACACTCTGACAAAGGAAGAACATGTATCCCAATTTTAAAAGACATGCAGAGGAGAAAGTTTATACAAAGAAGTTTATGCTGGTCGTGGCCTTTCTGCATGCACACAAAATGACTGGACAACCATCATGGCAGATTTTATATTACTGAACTTTATGTACAAAAGCAGATTTCAAATAAACATTTAATGTAAAAACAATGGTTCATTTAAACAACTGAACTGTTTGGTTTTTGTTTTTGTTTGGGGTTTTGTTTTTACATCTACTGTACCATTCAAATTATTTTTAACCAGCTTACATGGTATCTTCAAAATCTATCAAAGGTACATATAGAAAAGGCATCTTTATAAATAGAAAACAAAGGGCTTTTTTCAGCTTTTATTATAAATTGACATGACATACAAAGTTTACTGGACAGAAGTAATTTCATTACTATTTTTGGGGGGGTCACCAACTTTTTGTGCAAACAATGCTAGCCTTCTTTTAAGCATTAAGAGCATAACTGCTTAAGAAATGACATAAGCAATAACTAGAACTACATCTCCCCTAAAATAATCTATTTTTTTTACATATGTGCACAGCTTTAGCAAATTAAAGCCAGAGAGAAATGCTTGATGTACTATCTGGAGGCATAGTTTGCTAAAACTCAAGAGAGCTGGCAAATTCAAGAAGTTTGTAATGAAAGCTGCAGTTTCCCTCTTTCCTATTTTGTACACAAAATCAGTGACTAAGAACTTAATACTGGATGACAAATCACATCCACACCATTAGTTAAATAGTCTCACAGTTAAACACATCTTAAGGACCATCAAAATCAGTATTTACATTTTATAAATTTCTGAAGACACCATTAGAAAGCTTATATACCCCTTAAACAAATAGGGAACTGCATCTCATGGTGATGGAATGAAATAAAAAATTAAAAATACCTGTATTTACAGCAGCATTGTTCCTTTATAAATAAAGAATATGAAAAATGCAATATTTTAAGGATAATAAAAAATTGAGGTGATGTCACTCAACCACAGTGCTTGCTGGAATAAACCCTTCGGTGCTGATACTGTACCAGTAGTGAAACCACTTTCCATTGGAAAAAATCTGTAAACGTATGCATAAAATGTGTTAACAGCAGTGCAAAACTGCTCAAATATAGTTTAGTCAGCATCTTAGTATCTGTATTGAATACAATACATCACAGAATACTTGCATAAGAAGTGCAACACATTTTCTGGTCCAATTTTACAGTGCATTTTTCCCTCAAGAGTGGCATCTCGAAAGCCAAAGCTAAACCTATGGCCTGGACTTGCAGTCTGTACTCAGGCAAAACAGCAGGCATGAACTTCAAACGAAGCTAATCGACGTGATGCCTACATACTGACTCTAGACTCTCGGCTTTAGCATGGCACACATGATGCAGAACCCCAGTAAAAAGGGCTTACATCAAATAGTTTGTGTAGCTGTGTAAATGTGTAATAAAAATATAAAGGAGCTAATGTTCAAGTTTAAAATGGTACACTGGGTGATCAATACATCAGAATTATCCACGAAAAACCAAACTGCTGGTATCCTCAAAAAGCCAAGGTGGTACTTCACTGTGTCTGTAACACGAAAAGCCAAGATCTTTCCAAACAGGCACAAGACAAAGGAAGTGCTAAGTTTGCCAACTTTGATAATTTTAGTGTAAAAAAAAAAAAAAAAAAAAAAAAATTTGTAATTTATGATCAATTGATAAATGATTTCAAATACAAGGATCAAGGTTAAACTTTAAATAGTGAGATGTTATTTTCACAAAAAGCTAACTGGAGAATTTCTAAATAAGAAAAGCAGAAACTGTATCCCAGTCCCCTTTACCCAGTTTCACAACTTCATGGTAGGAAAAACAGCCAGATACAGATGCAAAAATCTCAATATAAAAACGGTTTTACATATACTTAAATTAGGTAAATTCCATAAAGTTCTTAAAGACACTAATTACTAAAATTACAAAAAGATTTTCATATTGCTCTTCATGCTCAAACTCTTAGAATATTGTCATTACATCACCAAAACCGATATACATGTAGTACTTGCAAATTAACTGAATAGAAACCCTGTTGAAACAATATCCTTGTTGAAATCATTTATTTCCATCCAGCAGTGCCTGTTTGGAATCTCTGTATTTTTGTGTGTAATTCTTTATAGAGCTCATGCACCCTAGAATGTCACTTCAATGCTTGTCCGTTGAATGGCAATTGACTTTTGACTTCAGAGCTTTTGTTTCTTGCTCTGTTTTGTGACACCTGAGATGCTATCCATTTCTGAAATTCTCTCTCTCATATTATTTTCACTATATCCATTTGTTGTCCCACTTTGTTCCTCAGAAGATTCCTCATCCACTGGGGAGGCTGATTCTCCTTTCTCTAACTTCTGCTGCATTTCTCGGAGCCTGGCAACAGCTTTGTCTATTGACATTATGCTGATGAGGTTAAAGTCATGCATGCTGACCAGATGTAGCATAAAGTTTCGACACAAGTTCTTCTTAATTATTTTTTGTCCGTAATTTTCAACAAACAGCATACAGGCGTGATTCATTTGATTGTCAGCAATAAACCTGTCAAATTAGAAAGCCATCATTAGGCGAGTAGAACATTTTCAAAAACACTAAGGTACACTGATAAACCATGTTGCAGGGTAACTGCACAGACCATCTATTAACACAGCCACATGTGCAATGATTTTTTTTTTTTCAAAGCTGTAAGGCTAACTAGGAACACAAAGAGTTTTTAGAAACTTAAACAGTCAAAAGCTTGTTACCAAATTATCCTTTAATGATCCTTTCCTAAACAACTGAGCTAACTGAATTTCAAGTCCTTACTGAAATGCAATGCAAAATGGTCAATCGAATCTATACCATGATTTATTTGTATCAAAACCAAGTTTATAGTAACATACCCGTGCTTCATAACGTGAAGATTCCATAATTTCATCACTTCTTTCTCTCCTTCGTTAACATCAGAAAATTCTTCAATTTGCTGGAGAGATAAAGGATTGGGAGAAAGGACAGGAGAAGAAACAAACACACCCATCAGAACTGTGTATCTGCTGACAAGTAGCGAAAGCACACCTAAAATTCAACTTATGCCATCTACACATCTCAGAAATAACTCCTGCTGCTAATTCAGGCACTGCAGTCAAAAAGGTCAGAGAAGAGTTGTATCATGTAGAGACATGTGATGATAAATTACTTTCATCTTATATCCATACACCACCATGTACTCCTGTGACACCAGCATCTCCTCTGTGAAGGAGAAAACCAGCCACAAACAATGAAAAAACTGTTTGGACCCATGTGGACTGAGCTACCTTTGCAACTAAAGACATACTTGAAAATACAAACTTTTTTCCATGAATTTCTATTGTTAGTGCTCAGCATCACAAAGTTTTCTACTTAGTCTTCAAGTAAATGCATCAATTTCACAATAAACACCCTGTTTGTTCCCTACAACAACTGCAGACCATGTTTTAAAAAACACAATCCATTTTAAATTATTTTGTACAAACAGAATAATTACAGTAATGGTTTTCTCCCGTAGCCATTCCGGGTCCTTTTCATCTTCACTGTCTACTTCCATTTCTTGTGGACGGAGAGGTAAACACGTGTCACTGTGGAAATACAGCCGATTGTGCCCGCTGCTGTATGTCCGCTGCTGTTCTACTTCTCCATCTTCAGATTCAAGGAATTCTGACATACTTGCTTTCGTACGCTTTGGCCTAGCAGAAGGGAAGAAAATTAACTGCTTTCAACCACCATATCAAATATGCAAATACAAAGAATTGTAATTGGTTAATACAAATTATTCTTTTAAAGCTCTGGCTTGCAAAAATGTTGGGGGTGGGTGGACAGGAGAACCACCAGCAGTGAAATAAAACCCATTAAAAACCCAACACCTCTTTTCAACCCACACTCTACCTTTTGAAGAAGTAAAGTTTTAGGATCAGGCAGTTAAAAAAAGGTACATCACCTCAACTGAAAATCACAGAATCACAGAATGTTGGG